CTATAGGCCGGTCGCATTACTACCAATACTGTCGAAGGTAATGGACAGACTGGTGAGTGCATGAATGAGGGAGTACCAATAAAGAAAAAACAACATCCCCCATGAAGCTCAGCACAGGCTTGGAAAAGGTAGTTCGTGCACATCCAATCTTCTCATGACATGGGACAGCTGGGAAACCTGTTTGAATCGAAAAAAACATCAGTCCGCATAATGTCACGCCATGAACATTCTATTCCCCTAGATTCAAACAACTTGCATTCTCGATCAAATTTCTCTCCAAAATGCCTCCTCAGAGTGCGAACTGGGTTTAGTGACCGAAGAGAGAGAGAGAGAATGCCACGTCAAACCACATAGGAGATGCAGTCGAAGCTAATGCAACTCTTCACATTTCGCGACGACAAATCGGTACATTCACCCCGCAATCGCTCCTAACTCTCTTTAAAAAAAGCAAATGACCACACCTGTTCACAATGTGATCGCACATCCTCTCTTCAAAAGAGATGTGGTAACTGGACTGAAGAACAAACCTGGAGACGACAGATTGTAACACTCGAGACCACTCCTGCTAAGTTATACAAGAATTAGAATTGATCAACTGATGAAATGCAACATATTGTGTGTGCCTAATCATTCCAGCACGAGCATTATGGCAAATGATCACCGTCACACCTCACGAGGTAACCCTCGAAAATCGCACACCAAGGAGCGAACAGTCGAACTCTTGCATAAGTTTTTTCATTAAGAGTTATCCCATCTTAGAATACTCTACCAGCTGAAGTGACCAAGTCCCCATCAGTGAATAGCGTCAAGAAGAAACTTGATAAAAACGTATGCACCGATGGGTTATTATTTCGTTCTTGGACCAGCTGCTTCTGATCCATGTCTCAGCTAGTGATAATCATTGTCATTTCCTCAGATCAATCACTAGCATATTTTATCTGGCTTATTACCTCTGTTTTCTCGTCCTTGCTTGCACTTCGATTCACTTGCCTTATCTTCACTACCACTTAATTAATTAATTTGTTTATTTTTATGGTTCCAAAAGTTTACTCTTCACTTTAGCATTAGCATTTTTTTCCGCACTACAATCAGCTGGTTGCTGACCTGGCTGTGTGATAGTTGCTATTATCCAGTTACCCTAATGTACTAAGGCAAACGCACTCACTCAAATTACAGGACATACAAAATCCATATATAGCTACTAAAAAGAATTCGAGTGGTCAGGGTACCATCAATTTACCATTATCAAGCAGCTGAAGCCGTTTCGAAGTAACACAAAGGGAAGGCGAATAAATCAGTTGGTTTATACTAACTCGTGAAAAATATATTGGATACTAAAATGTCCTTGGGTTTTCGTGGCGTTACGAACTTGCGCGTTTCAATCTCGTCTTTAGGAGCCTTTGGAAACACAAAGTGGTTTTCTGAATTTTAAAGTATTTACGGTCAACAAATCACATTAAATTCCGGCATTATATCTGTATTTTTCGAGTCTTGCCCTCTAATATTGATAAATTTGTTCGACGTGCTTGCACTCAATCAATGAAATAATTCATTATTATATCAGTGTTCATATCTCTGCTGCCAAATGGTAAGAAGTGTAGCGAATAAAGGTATTGTTATTTTAGGATGGAAGTACCGCTAAGATGAAAGAAAAGCCTTCATACTATGGTGGGGATAAAGTCGATGCTGACGACGAAGGTAAGAGTGAAAACTGTCATGTATGTTTCGTATGTGTATATATACTTTTGTCACGATGTCATCAATCGCATACTATGATAATACAATATTTTCGGTTTTCTGATCACGTTAGTTACAAATTGCCTTTCAACGCATATGATGGGCGTTTAACTGAACTGCGATTTATAGATTTCCGGCTTTGTATTTCAGCCATTAGCAGTTAGAGATTTTTTTACAGCAGGCCTCTATAAGCTGAAGGTACTTTTTTATTATAAACCCACCATGTGACAAAATTCAGGTTTACTAGTTAGTTAGTTACAGTGTAGAATCTGATACGTACGTACATCAGATCCACTTGCCGTACCTCGTTTTAGCTGAGCAGCAAAATTTTCAATTTTAATGGTAACGGAAACGACAGTTCCTTCAGGGAATATAAACAAGATTAACAACAATTATGGGGAGTTTGGAATCTGAAGGAAAAACGAATACACCTGTTCTGTTATAAGTGATTTTGAGCTGTATCATTCAAAGTCTCTAACCACCAGTTTCGATTATCATACGAAACTCAGTCAGCTGTCCTGAACATATAAACATGACTACACAGATCTCTGTCATGTCTTGGTTTGACTTCCCGCTAGCTCTCTTCCAGCCTACTACCACACCAAACAAATTCAACATTCTTGGTAGTCGGGCACCTGTAAGACTTACCAAAACCACCTCAGTTGACGAAGGTTTACTACTCATTTAATCCATCTGCCATCATTAACTAAAATCCTATACATAACTAAGGCATCACCTACTTAGTGCTCTCAGAATGCGGGAGCTTTGATTCGAAGAAGCTGATGATCAAACGCAAGTAGTCTGAGAGTATTCTCCATCCTTAGTAATCATGTTTTATACCAATGAAGCAGAACTCAGTGAACTGATAAAGACTAAATTCACCCTTCGGGTGACCTAATTCATCAAAAGCCAATCGAGCATTCTGTATCCATGCCGAGATTTCGTTAGCAAACAGTCAAGCTTGATGCGACACGCTCAAATGCTTCACTCCTTATTACTAGTTCAGGACCCGACTCACACCAATTGTGAGGAAAAATTTCGCAATTGAAGGGAGAGGATCGGGTTCCAGAAATGCTAACACTGTCACTTAAGGTGGTCAGAAGACTGCGCTTTCTCAGCGTCCTTAGCAAACGGAATTATGTCACCTGCGTATTCTAATTTAACAAGTGAATCTCCTAACTGAAAAGTCGGACAATGAAAGTGTCATGTTTACGACAAAGTTAGATAAGAATGGGGAAAGCGAGCTCTAATTAGGTGCTGAAGTATTATTGGAGTTAATATTTTGGACGTTACATTAGACAAGTGGTGTCCTTTGTAATTTCCACAAGATGAGTTTTGTCCTTTATCAAAGACTGGGACGATCAGTGATAGAGACCAATCAATCGCATCAGTTTCTGCTATCCTAGCTAGTATCTCAGCTAATCTAACTGCCGAAAACTGAAACACTATCCATAAAAATCCTAGGCGTTAGTTCATCAGACTCTGCTACTATCCCTTGCTTTAGATTCTGTTTAGCGTTTATTATATCACTAAGAGCTAAAGGACTTACATTTATTTGACATTCAGATTGTTTCGAGCAAGTGGGTATCTGAGATGTGACTTAAGGTGATTTGAATTGTTCTCTGAAGCGTTCTACCCATCTGCCCAATCTCTGAGATAGTCTCATTAACATTTGAATTTCTAATACTTGTTTTTATTGATAAGCCAGACAGGATGAGTTTCTCAGCATCTATCAATCCAGTAGATGCCTCTAAAATCCATAGATTTTTCCTAACCTTCCAGTTTAATTGACTAGTAAATATTACAGCTGGATATCATCCCAAGCTTCCGCAGGGTGGTTATCACTTACATAGTTGACTAACTTTCCCTCTTTTTGTGCAAGCTTCACACTTCAAAATGTCCCTCCACTGTGGACTAAAATCCTTGCAGTAAGGTTAGGTGTGACGTTTTTGGGTCACATCGTTCTATGTCAGCAGTATGACTTCTCTTTCAAACCTTGAGTTGCTAATTTTAATGTTGTTTGTTTGGCATGATCGGACATAAAGGGAAATATATTTCAATCAGTATACTCTATTAGAATCATTGTGATAAGTGCGCCCAACCACAACGTCAAGGTAGTAGCTACGATCAGAGAGCTCTACGAAGACTGATATTTAAACATTTAGCTTTTAATAATATTGTTACTGCTATCAGTGTTATATTCATGTCGAGTTATATCAAACGACAGACTATCTAAAGAAATTTCGGTGTATCTGGCAGTTTTTATTTATGAGAAGCGAATTCCTAAAAAATCGAAATGGAGTTTAATAACTCATAGCTTTTATATTATCTCAGAGTCACATGAAGTAGTTCAGTTTCTTTATCTTATTAGCTGACTGCTGCCTTACCGTACTCTTGATAAATTACCCAACCAATACATAGCCTAAGTTGCAAAGTTATCTTGCATACCTGTCATAGAAATTGCAAGTAAAGTCTATAAGTGAACTTCATACTTCACTTCAGGACTCAGATATCGTTATTTAGTGGTAAACAAACTACTGGAAAGGATAGAAAAAGGTTCTTTCGTCTTTTGTTTATGTCACGAACAATACATATGGCTTTGTGTTTTCCCCCAAATTCCCTGGTACGTTCTAAAATGAGGAGAGTCCATTTTTCCTCTCCAAATACTCACGTGGTTACGCGTATATAGCCGTTGCAAGGGAAACTCTCCTGACTGCTTCATGACAGGGGTGTCATTTACAAAGTTTTAAGGACAATAAGCGAGTGTCCGGCGCTTCGATCAACTTTTTCAGTTCAGAGGAACAATCTAGGTGAGTTGCAAAACTCTGATATCAAACCAATGCTACAGTCAGTCAGTCAGTTGCAACGTAGGACTTCATACGTAAGTACATCAGTTCAAGTTGCTATACCACATTAGCACAGAGATATAATTGTCAATTCAAATCCAATAATAGTAGAGGTAGTAAAAGTATTAGAAGTCAGTCAGTCAGTCAGTTGCAACGTAGAACTTCGTTGCAATCTGTGTTATAATGCTGCTGTGTGGCTATTCGAAATCCTACCGATTGACCGAATTCAGGTATTCCAATACAACCTCAAATACTGTTCCCAAATCTTCAATATATCAGAACACAACACCGTTAGATGAAGCCGTTTATGGGGTAGAGTACAGAAGGAAGGAATGAATGGAATAATAAGCTTTACAGTTAGGTCGAATAGGAAACAACATTGAAGTCTATGACATTGACAGTTAGGACGACCATAATATTGACCAGTAAGGATTGACCAATAGGATTTGACTTCCAAAATTAAGTCTCTTATGATATTTGATGATTATCCTAACACTATGTGAAGTTCGAATCATGTATTTTTACTGACTTTTACATATTATCATTTTGATGGTCGATAGATCTCTAGGTGCAATGATAAAGCGTTTAAAAATAAAAGCATCTGTTTTGCACACACGTGACCAATGTCATTTGATATGCTTGAATTATTATGAGTTCACCTTGGAAAAGGAGAACGAGAGGATCGAGGATCTGGTGACACTACATGCCACTCTAATCCGATTGTCCCAACCCGCATATTGAGTCAAAGAAGAAGACTTGATATGAAGTAGAACGTGTATTCTACAAGCATCTAGGAAGTACGAGGTCCGAGTCCAGAAGAGAATCAGGATCCCTGGACTAGGGATCCGGGTCCGGATCCAGGTCATTAAACATTACAGGTAGTGCGTACTTATACAGTTAGTTCGAATAGGAACCAACATTGAAGTCCGTGACATTGATAGTTAGGTCGACCAATAGGAAACAACGTTGAAGTATGTGGCGTTGATAGCTAGGGCGACCGTAATATTGACCAATAGAATTAGACTTCCAACAATAATTCTTTTATGATATTTGATAAATATCCTAACAGCAGCATTCTCTATTATTTTTCAATGATATGTCGTGAATATATTATGTACTAAGCGTTGCTTTACTTTTGTTAGCCTTAATTCATACTTCATCATTGTTGTATTTTGGGGTTCGCCTTTATCTTAAACACACATTTTTTTCTACTTTTTCCCATTTTATAAATAGAATCACGTAAACTTTATATCAATGATTGTCGACAAAAGCAAGCCGCATTATATCCTGCATTTTTATTTAAATCACAGTCAGTGCAATTACTTCTGTCACCTCCAGACGATAGTGAACTACTTGTAATCACTGGTCAAAGTAAAATTCATTTGTATTTACAACAAAATCTAAATGAACTTTCACTTCAAACATCTCATAATCACAATCAATTAAGTCAGTCAAATCCTACTGAAATTGATTTAGGTGTATGTAAATTAACTAATCTTTGTATTCCGCCATTTCCTCAAACTATATCATCTGAAGTTTCATTATTCCGTTCGCATGGACTACCTTTACTTGTATGGCCTAAATCAACAGATAAAATATTCATTCAAAAGGTATGTAAAACAATATATTGATTTTTTCTTATTTTGGTTATGACTGACTGTTTATTGTTTAACAAGAATAGACTAAGATGGCCTTTTAAAACTCACTCTGGTAATTAATTCACAAACGTTTTCATATGTTAGAGTAAGCGTGTCTGTAACATCTAGAAGTCATGTTACGCGCCCTATTGGAAACTCGTTTTAGGCAAATGTATATTTACATTAGATGTCGACAGTAGGATTGGCTTTCATTGGCACCTGAACTCTAGGGGTAGGAAGTGAAGTGGTTGATTTTGTTGTGAACTGAAGCTTCACTTCTGTTTGAAGTTTATGCTGATCATGTTGTTCAGAAGAATAATGAAAGCTCCACAACCAAAACATCCAGCTCAGAGAACCAAACACCATCACAGTCATTCACCTGAGCTACAAATTTTCTCCACCATCTCAAAATCATTTGAGCGTGACACGCTTCTGGTTGATTTTGTTGACTGCTTCACTTATCTTGGGAGTTTCATTAGTGCTGATGGCCTGGTGATTGACGAAATCTCAGCACGAATACAGAAGGCTCGAATAGCTTTTGTCACTTATAGCATAGGAGAGATATCTGTTTACTGACCAGTACTGCACATCAGTTCGCTCTGTGCGCTATGAAACATGGCTAGTCAGAGTAGAGGATATCCGAAGGCTACTAGTTTTTGATCATAGGTGTCTTCGAAGCATTGCTCGTATATCCTGGTACAATCGAGTAAGCAATGCTGTTCTTAGGAAACGAGTACTAGGTAAGGATAGAAGATCAATAGATGAAGTATTGAAACTTCATCAGTTGAGGTGGTTGGGACATGTGTTACGTATGCTTAACCACCGACTGCCTCGATGAGCTATGTTTTGTGATGTAGGAATAGGTTGGAAGAAAGCTAGGGGCGGCCAAATCAAAACATGGCAGAAATCCATGAAGTCATTGACAAGTGGACTGAACAATGTCGGTACGTTTGGAGTACCTGTTTGGGGTTCACGATACATTAGTAATCAATGGTTAGAAACTTTAAAAGACATGACTTAAAATGGTTTGCAATGGCGTAGGTACATCCATTCCTTGTGTTCTCTCAAATTTTCATCTAAACTTCTCTTGACCTTCATCTTTCTCTTCTCAGACTTATTTCACTGAGTTATACTTCTTGAATAATATCTTTTATGATAGAACTTTTGACTAACGTGTTCAAACATACGTGCCGTTAATCGCTTAACATTGTTTAAGCACTAATATTTAACCGCCTTGCTGTCGCGCTGCTTCAATTGGTGTGTACACTCAACCACCTATTACCAAATATTTGAAGATTGTTTTAGAAGAAACCTATTCAAATCCTACAAAGCACTGTCAATAAATAATAAAACTAATTCTTGGGGATGTTAGATCCCCAGAACTCGCTTGATAAATATCTGTATTTTGGATTTATTTCATGCACCGATCAGTTGACCTTGAGATCACATCTCCCACCAGGAAAACCCTTGGCTGTGATTGGCTACTGTGTTATTTTCAGTGTGCTATTTTCGTGACTGTCCA